GTGGATATAACGTAAACATTATTAAAGTGTACGAATTAATGGGATTTTAGATTGGCTTATTAAAATTTGGTTGTATACAAATTTGTGTACAGTATAAGATAATACTCTATGGCATTTAGCTATTTACAAATAAAATAATTTTTTTTTTTGTAAATACTTAGCATTATTAAACAGGGGCAAACAAGTTTTTTTTTTCATTGATCGTTTGATTATTCGATAGAACTTTGTACCAAATTATCTAATAATTAGATTTTATAATACATTGAATACTTATTTCTGTTATAATTGAAAAAATAAACCATCGACATTACGAACATTTACATCGGTGAATTTCATAAAAACAATATAATTATTTAAGAGATCATAATTGTTAAACTAATGACTGGTGACAAAAAAAGAAATTTAGGTTGAATATTCAACTTATGGATATGAAATATGGATTGATAAGTGAGGTGTTATTATATTTCAATTAGTGTTTACCGATGGGCGATGACAAACTAAAGCAACATATAATTTAAAATAGCCCCTCATTTCCCGCAGAATCGTTATAATTACGCAATATGGCATGTAATTTCGAATCCACGCCTTTACGAAGACCAGAACAAGTAATAAATATTATGTGTTTAAGTGTTTTGTCTCATCGTCCAATATATCGATACAATTCTATAATGCGTAATATACGGTGCGCCATCAAACAAAATATACGTTGAATTGTGCTAACGCCGTTTTACTCAAATAATACCAAAAGTGTTCTTAGAGTTTAATACTATAATAGGTAGTAATTTTATAGACTCAAAAGTGGTTATAGTGTGTAAAGGGGTGTACACTGAGATACCACTTGGACATTTGCCAATTGCCAATTTGTTCAGCAATAACAAAAAAAAATAATCATCTTATATAATAATAATAATAATAATAATAGAAAAACATATTGTTATTGGTGAATTGATTTTAATTATATGAAAGACTTTAAGCTAACAACAATTTTATTGGAACAATTTAATTGTAAACAAGTTATTTTGTGGTATTATACAATTCCTAGAAATTCTGTTGCTAAACATAGGTACTGCTGGAAGAATAATGAAACATTATCCTATACTTAAGCAACGTGGGGTGAAGCTAGAAGAGTATCTCAACAGTATCTATATAACACATTATTATATCTATTATGTATTACATTATTGGCGTGGAAAATATAAAATAATATTTTTTTAAATTATTTAATTTTCATTTGATATAATACTTAGTTAAATACCTACATATCCCGTTGATATTCAAAAAATAATTGTAATTTCAAATAGTATGTTCGTCATCCGTATTAAATCCTTCAAAGAATATTTATATAATAAAAAGAGATATAAAAGAGATTGCAATTTACATTTTTTCGTTTTCAATTCAATTTTATTTTTCTTAAGAGACATAATATTTTAATAAAACCTGACCACAGTTTTATGAGAAAAAGTGTACTTCTGTTTAAACAAAAGAAGTCTTTGAAAAAAATAAACAAGGGAATGAAAGATAGAGAATATTGTTAGATTGTGGCGATTTCTATTCCATGTAAGGCAAACAAACAGATACAACACAATATATTTTATGTCATTTTTCTTACTATAATAGTTGACGGGTAATTTTCTCTCACACGCCCACGACATTGGTGTTTACTGGAAGAATAACCTTGTCCTCGTCAAGACAAATTTATCGACAAATACAACTGATTCAATAGAAAATTATGGCTAAAGAAGAAGTAGCTATAAATACTGTTAGTCTGCCAACCCATTGAGTGGAAATATATTTTTTCTTCAAATTTTCAATTTTCCAATGATCCTCAAAAATGTACGTTTAATATTGTTCAGATGAAATTTTGTTATTTAATAATTTGTCATTATTATCATCTGTTTTGTTTACAAATTAATTACCTTTGTTCATAATGTTCATAGTGGCATATAACAACAATAATACATACTTACCACGAGACAAAAATTATGATTTACTCATTTTTTATACACCCAACAAAAAAATAAAACGAATGTTTATTAGTACTTCGTAAACCGAAAGTCGTATCAACAAAACTTTAAATTTAAAATGTATATCTACATAAATATACTATTTTGGTTATTTTTGTTGATGCACATTTTAAATTCCAAAAGTTAATTTGTGATAATTTACAACATGTGCTAGATATTTATTTCAGATTAATGTTAAAATGGGTTAATATCACAATCACAGTAAAATATAATAGCGGGGGTTTCTTTCAAATTAAGAAATAAACAAAAAAGTTTTTCAAAGTAGATGTTTTTAATTTTTTTTCCAGATTTTCTTATTTATTTTATGTACTAAAGGCTATTTAAAAACCAAACCTTGCAAATTACTTCTTGTTATGATATTATGTACAGTGTGCGTAACCTTAAATTATGACCACTAAAACTTTGTAGAGGACTTAATAGAATCTTTTAAAAATTACTTTATATTAGTCAGTCATAACTCTTTTTTTTAGAACACTGAATAAATTAAAAATCAAATTAAAATGTTATGTTTAAGGCATTATAAATTATACGATAATCGTATTTGTTATTTAGAAAAAAATTACATTAAACATTATCATACTTTTATATGGGTATAATATTTTGTTTGAAGCTAATGTGATTATAATATTATCTTTATAACTGCGAAAACTAATTCGTATAACATAATTTATAAACCGTGTAATGTAATTTATTGTGGCTCGACTGATTTTTGTTTGGGATTTCTAGTCACGTTCTGTACTTCTACATGCAAGTCAACTATAAAAGACCTAAGTTTAATGAAATAATAGACTGAGTGAAACATCATAAAATTTCGGTTCCATAAACTTTAGAAAAAAATATTTTTAAGTTTTAACCTTCTTCTTTCTTTTCTACGATTGCAAAGCTAAAATTATGAGTACAGTTATTATTGTTGTTAATGTATTTTTAAATAAATTAAAGATAATAACATTATTAAAATATGTAATTAAAAATTATTATTTTTATAGGTTGTATGGTTATTTTTGAATTTAAAATTGTACTCTACATTAGATATTGTTATTGAAATAACAGCCATATTTCTTTTTTTTTATTCTCAATAAAATACAAATCAGAATCCAAGGTATAATTGTAGATTATAGGATCTTTGTAGAAATTAACGCTAAATAAATTTATTGAACAAATACAGTTCTTTTTTTTTAGTTAAAAACTCGACATTAATATTAATTCTATCTGTGATGGTTGTTATTATTATGATTGGTGAGTCTCGGCTTCTGGGTAATTGGCTAAAAATTGTACACTATAGTATTATATTATGAACATTTTATGTTTTATATACCTAATAGTAGTAATGATTTTACTTGGGAAAATATTTGATTAAACATTTATTCGTGTTGGTTTTAAATAATATGACGTGTTAAATATAAATATATAATATATTATGTAACAATTTTGAATATTACAATAATTTATTAATTATTGGACTAGCGTGTTAGTCGTATTATCTTGTTCTAGTGATTGGAAACGTTTCTTTTTAACTCCGTAATTGACTCAAGTATCTGAACAGTGAATTTTAATTGTATTTAGCTAAAAAATAAAATCGATTCTAAAAATTCTTTCTTTTCAGTTACCTACATTATTTTCCATGTAATTTGTCAGATATACAAATAATAATAATAACCTTTCTAGTATAAATATTATGGTACCTAATATAGCTACCTAACATTGTGTGGTGAAAAATAGAAATGTTTGTCTGATGTTTTTAAAACATAGCCATAATCCATTGTTTACACACAATTTAAATTTTACAATAGATCACTACAATATATTATTATAATATTATATATACATAAAAAAGAAAAAATGTCAAATGTAAAGTTTAATAGATTCGTTCGTATTATATATGATATTAAAATATTTAACAATCCTAAAATGGCTATTAAAATCGTTTTTTTAGTTTTATAATAATACGTACGATAAAAAAAACATTTTAATACACCAGTTGATTCTGAAGTTTCTCTGATTTATTCAATATTTTAAGCACCAATTAAGATTTTAGGCAGTCAACTTTTAGTAGGATAATATGAAAATGAGATCATTCCAATTTAAAAACAGTTTTTAAACAATTCCATAACAATAACCAGATACAATATAATTATTACATACTTTACAAAAATAAATCGTTAGAGATTAAACTAATGGAGCAATTCAATTTCATTTATCTTTTAAAAAAATAAATGAGGTGTATGTTTAAATTAGATTTACTGATTTAATTCACGAATAGTAAAATAAATAACTAGTATAGACGCCCTCTGGTATGAAATAATTATAAAACCAATTTAAGTATTTCAACTTCCGAATTAATGGAAACACAAATGAAGGATAACATTATAATATGTCTGATAACTATTTACTAATATTTGGTTGGTGCTATTATTATTATTTGTATAATGAAATTACATAAAATATAAATTCTTAGAAAAACATAATTTATCCTACTCATAGTTTCATTTTAAAATAAAAAATTATAAAACTAATTTTCACTTTTCACATTAATTTAATAACTACCTACTGTTATAAATTCAACTAAATGGATCTTGGAAAATAATGTAAGTACCAAACAATTTTAACTATAATAAACTACATTGATTTAAATTGTATAAACATATTTCATACATTAGTTATTATTATACTTAAGATCAATAATTATAATGCCAGTGTATTTTTAGGTCTTGTTATCACTTACAAAATGTACAAATAACATTTACATTATAAAAATATAATTGAGTAAATGTAATTCAATAAAACACTATAAACTATGAATTTTAACTTAATTTCCAAAATATCAATGACATATTATTTTTTACTGAGACAGTATTTTAAAATGGAATGCTCGTGGAAAATAACTAACTCCAAGAGGGTTCTCAATAGGTAAAGAAAAAAGATGTCTAGCCTGAAAATGTTCATAATATTGCAATTACAATTGTGATTATCGCTTACCTTCTTGTAGAACCTCGAGTTGGTGACCTTGTGAAACCCCTTGCGGAACGTCACGTGATAGTCGTCTTGTTCGGCGAATTTGAACAGTATGCCCGTGGCTGTCCTGGTCACCGAGTACGGTCCTCTGTAGTTCATCTTCTCGCATATGGCCGTCGCCTTCTCCAGGTTCAGCTCGTTGCTGGGCGTGATGAGGAACGCGCCCTTGGCCAGAAAGTGTCCAGAGTCGGAGAGCTCGGACAGTCGGTCGTCATCGTCGTCGCCGTCGTCGTCATCGTCGTGATGGTCGCCGTCCCTGCCGCCGCGATAGTCGGTCCGCCGACGGCGATCTACCGTGGTTGCGGTACCGCGCCTGTTGTATGTGCCGTAACCCGACGACACCGCCGCCGACTTGTCGACCGCGGACTGCGGCGACGGCGACAGAGGACCTCCGGCCTGTGATTTCTGCACGCCGCCGCCGCTCGGACCGGTCATCGAGGAGCTCATCATCGTAGTGGTTGTCGAAAAATAATAATCAACAAAAAAATTGTTAGGTTTATCCTTTAGGCAAGGTAATATGATGCGGTTGACGACGCGCCGAAACGGATTGCGGTGGACTACAGCGGCCCCAACGTTCGTCCTTATATAAGACCCGATTTTCAGCCGCCGTCAAGTAGGGGTTTTATTATTATTATTATCATCATCATCATTATTGTCATTCCGTATTAACGTTTCACGGCCGACACCGTGAGGTAATCGGTATTTTTGGGAGCGTCGGCGGCGACGGTGTTCTATAACCGTATTAAATAATAATAATAATAATAAAGACGACGACAGTAAATTCACTGCAGATATGGGTGCGACATTCAATTGGGAAGTCTATAGCTCCTCCGCAGCGGATGCTGACATTACCGGGGCAATTGAAAAAAAAAAAAAAAACAGAGAAATAAAAATAGGAGCGTACCCACCTACGGCGTGTGTGCGCACAACCGTTAAACGGACGAGAATTATATTACTACGTCATGACGTACCTATATATAGGTATAAATTATAAGAGTTTGATGTATTCGTGGTTTCTCGGGAAATAGCTCCCCCGGCTTTGCACACAATAATAATGTATAATATTTAAGATGGTACGTCAGTGTGGGAAATAGATTGGTTAGGTTCATAATAGGCAGGTACTACTGTATTACTGTGTTGTTGTTAAAACATCACAGTACAATAATATTTTCATTCCTGCTGCTGCAATATCTCGTCGCTTTCGAAATTCGCATATGTTTTTCTAATTAGAAATATGGTTAATAATATACATATAATATAATATATTAAATTAATTATTATATTTATTTTCAATTTGGCATACACACGTCTTGTTAGTTTTGGTGGACAATTATTTTTAATGTTTTTTTTTTCAAGATTTTATATTACCTGATCGCAATGATTTTAACTATCATTCAACTGATGCATTTTATTATAGTATAGACCAACCATCAGTTGTTTAAACCTCACTGGTAGTTATTGTATTTTACAAGACAATATCCTAATACCATGTACTATATGTAATACAAAAATCATAGCCTTAGTTTTTGAAGTTAAACTACCTACTCGTATATAATATATACTGTTTGCGTGAAATTGTGAGAATGCAGAGTTATACAAATGTGAAGTCTGGTGGAACCACACTGATATTTACTATTTATATTATATTATTCCCATCACGACCGTGGCATCATCACCCACGTCACAGTTTAATTTAATTTTTACATTTAAGACTTAAAGGATCGTCGATGATGACTTTGACGAATGTGGTATTGGGTAGCGAAAATCTGCAGTTTATATTCTGCCACCAACCAATAGCATTGCGGCGGACACATCGTACACCCGAACAGCCAAAGGTCGTCGCTTGTAAGGTGTTTGAAATATGATTCGATCATTATAATATTATTAACAGACCCTTTTAACCTGGTTTTGATTGGTAGGTACGTCGATTTAAATCATGGCACGTCTTGGAGAATCAATATCAGAGCTTCTTGGCACGCGATAATATTTTGACTTTTTATTGAACTTTGTAATACTAATATCTTCGTATTTACATTTTATACACACCTATCTGCACGGTAGATTGCAACAAATTGTTTGTATAGGTACCTATAGTTAAACGCACCCTCTAGTCGAGTCACTCATAACATTATTAGTGTATACCATATGCTACAGAATTGCTTTTCAATATTTACTCACAAACGTGTAATTTATTTACTGTGTATTTACTATTTACACGACCTGTCCCATTTTTGCCGTACTGGTACTTAAACGAGATTCTATTGATTAATTGTGTGTTTCTATAAAGATGTCGTCAAGCGTTTAAGGCCACGCAGTGCGGAGGGCCCCAGACGAATAAGATTTTAATTGGCAATCGCCTTGAATCATATAATACCTGGTACAAGTTAATATCATAAGAAATATTTCGCTACATTGATTCAAAGTTGAGTTTAATCTAGACATACAGTTTATGACTTCAATATTGTATTTCAAGTCGTGTACAATAATAATAAATATAATCGTTAGTATATACACTATAGGTATCGTACAATTCAATTTTGGAAAATTATTGTATTGCTTATGTGTTTTTTCTTGACATTTTAACTAATAATAATTTAACTAACCAAAACAAGCCTAACAAAATATTGTATTGAAGTTATTATGATGGAGGTAAATAATTTCTACAGCGTCAAATTTAATAGCATTATGCCGGTTAACTCTATTAATTTATTGTTATCTTAAGAATTTATTATATTGTTGAAGTTTAATTTATTTTGTTTAGAAATGTTAAACCTTCTTTGTTAAACCTTTTGTAAATATCTTTATTGTTTTATCAATATTTCCATAAAGGTTTTTGGCGCTTCAAAACTTTCCAAGTGTAACCCTTGATTGCAAACTTTATTCAACAGACCATCTTATGGAAACAATTTCATAATAATACACACACGAAAACTACAGTGACATTTCAAAATTTTCGAATGCATATTAATCATACATTGAAATCACAATTACCATTGTATTAAAAAGAATATGTATTGATTTATGAACTGTGACTTTGAAAGGAAATATTATGTATTCAGAAATTATAAATTAAAACAAACATGTATCTACAATTGTGTAGTTATTTTATTACTGGACACTCTTATTTCATACTTAATAAATGCCCATTCAAATAATAAATTTCAAAACAAAAAATATATATACTTACTGAATAATAACAATCATTAGTATTATAATTATTATTTATTTTATCAATGACCTTAAAAAATGGAACAACGTTAAAAATTAATATGCATAACACCAAATGCACTTAACACACATTTCATTTGATCATTTTTTTTTTTTTTAATTGTTCGTATTTAATGAAATATAAAATGTTTCCAATTAAAGATAAAATATTTTTAAGTACCTACCTAATAATAATAATGTAATTGATACTTAAAGTGATTGCAGTTTTGTTTTTTTTTTTTATCCAAAATGTAATCCAATTAATATTTCGGTTGAATTGTTCTTATTAATTATTATTATAATAACTATTATATTATAACATCATAATAATAACCAATGGTCATAAATTCGAAATTATATATACACGTAAGTACCTATATCTACAAAATTGTATTTACATTTACTATTCACATAATATTACTTGTAGACCATATATTTTTTGTTCAATTTAAAATAGTGACAATTGTTTGTATTTTTTACTCTCTTACTGAGTGTGTTTCTCTCTTCTTGGACTTTCTTATACTACATTAGATGTTTGTATCTTTTTTGCAAACTAGTAAGAGAGTGTGAAAATGTAAACAAACAAAGGGTAGAAAAGCGCACTTGTCCGTTCTAAAGGTTCATTTCTACAGGTCTGTTTATTTTGTCGGTTACGCCGACCATGACATGTTGCTATTATCGTTTTTTTTTAAAATATATATATCTATATATCCAAGATGATATATAAAAAGAAAACTCTTTTCAGTGATCAATTCATCCGTAACCCAATCTGCTAGTATACCATCATTTTCTAGGGACAGTAGCAATATAAAGAAAAACCCTTGAATTGGATGAGAAAATATAGTGCTTATGTATATTGTATATAATATATTATTATATATGTATTTTATTTTATTTTATTTTTTATAAAAAATTGGAATATTTGATGAAAGAAAAAAATGTTGATCGTTAACTTTGTGAAAAATATAAAACGGTGTAGATTTAACGGTTACGTGGCATATTAATCAAAGCGACATGAAATGATGAGGTGTTGGACATTATTGAAATATTGATATTGAACGATGGGTTATAAAAAATCAATCACCATAAAAAATGTATTTTCTTCAAAGGAAATTGTATATATTTCATGCTAAACATAATAATAAAAAAAATTATTAATTAATATAAATAATTTTCATTAGGTAATTATTTTAGTATTACTATTGTTAAAATAATATTTGTTATTTAATAAGTGTATAGTGTTGGAAATAAATAATAATGCAAATTATATTAAACCATTAATTATTATTAATAGTCGTATATTAAGAATGAACCCACAAATACTTTTAAGAAATCAAAATAATAAGTAAAGAACACAATGATCGAAAAATTATTTATAGGCACAAACTTAATCTTTTTAACACTTTTCTTAAGTTTGGTTACACGTCTGTCTGTGATCAAATCTTGCGCGCTCGATTTGAGGCACTTTTTGAAGATGAAAAATTCTGAAAATTTGTATAGACCTTGGTCTTGGATGACAATACAATAATCCGTAAAAAAATTTAAAAAAAAAAAAAAAAAAAAAAATTAAAAATTTTTTTAACTAAAAAGTAGAAAATAAAAAATTAAAAAATTATTTTTTAAAAACACACTTCTCTAAAAAAAAAAAAAATAATGAAAAATTTAAAAGTGTGTGGCGCTCTTAAACTTGACATATTATACCACACACTTTTAAATTTTTCATATTTTTTTGTTTTTTTCGAGAAGTGTGTTTTAAAAAATAATTTTTTTTAACTATATTCAAGCCATTTCAGTAGATTTTTATTTTTTAGGCAGTGTTGAATTTGAAATACTTATAATAAAAAATGTACTTTTATTTGCGATAAACCAGATGCCACTATTTCTTAGTTTTAACATCACCTATTTACATTTGCATAATTGAAATATATAACACAAATAATATAGATTTTAATGAATTTTGTATTGTGTTTTTAAATAAATATGTAAATTACTTTAAATTATGCCCTCTGTTTTGTATATAAAAATACTGTTTTCATACGTTTACATTGTTTGATTAAAAACAGCAGTTCATTAAAAATGACACTCCGATTTAATCTAAATTCCGTATTTAACGTTTATGTTTCATCAACTCATATTACTTTTTTTTATAACTTTACTGTTCTATTATATAGTATACTGCATAATATATATATATATTTTGATATTGTTTAAATGAATGCTGTTTGTTGTATAAATTAAGCTTT